GGGTGGGAGGGGGGAGCCAGGTGGGAGGGGGCAGCGCCTGGGATGGGGGAGGGGGCAAGGGGAGGGCGCAGCTGTGAGGAGGCAGCACCTGGGATAGGAGGAGCCAGGTGTGAGGCAGTCTGGTGGGGTGCTTGTATAGCTGTCCACCCCTGTGACACCTCTCCCCTAACTTGTCCCCCCCCCCCCAGGGTGGATACCATCTGGACTCCTTGTCCGAGTCTGTGTGCATGACAGTACAGGCGCTGCTGGGGGACCCTGGCCCTGTGCTGCAGGGGTCCATGGAACCCTGTCAGAGGTGCGAGGGTCACAGGGTGGAAGGGGCTGGCGTGGGCAGGCTCACAGCTCTGATCTCCCTACAGTGCCCTGGAGTCCATACAGAGCGTCCGGGCTGCCCAGGCCCCTCACTGGACAAGCCTCCAACAAGGTCATTGTGGCCTAGGCCAGGCTGGAGGGTTTACCCTGGGCTCCTGTGTGGTGGTCGTGACTCTGCGTCTCCCTTAGGCAGGGCCCCTGGGCCGAGTCCTAGCATCTGCCCCACTGAGGGGAGGCCGCTCCCTCTGCTTCCTGGGGGCCCCACCGGTGAGGCAGCAGCCCTGGGCCTGCTGGGTTTCCACCCCACACCTGCATCTCCCGTCCACATGGCTGTTGCTCTGACTGGGCCAAGTGCCACCCTGGCCCTGTCCCCTGAAGTGCTACTTCAGGAGGAGGTGTCAGTGGGCAGGCAGGAGACAGAAGCCTGGGCCAGGTGGGCAGGGCAGGCCTGGGGAGGTGCCTCTGTTTTGTGCCTGCAACTGATGTACTGTCAGTTGGTGCACTTATTCCTCTGGCTGGCACATCACAGGCAACACGAGTCCCTGACCCAAGACAAGGCCCTTTCTGCGCTTGGGAAGTTCCTGTTCCTCGCAGATGGGATCCTGAATGGGAAGGTAGGGTTGCTGGAGACTAGGGGCCATCATGTGGGGGTCTATCCAGAAGAGTACTGTGTGTGTAGACTACACAGACAGATGGATGTGTTCTCAAAACAGCCCAGGGGCCAGGTGATGGTGGCTCATGCCTATAATCCTAGCTTCTTAGGAGGCTGAGATCTGAGGATCATGGTTTGAAGCTCAGCTGGGTGGGAAAGCCTGTGAGATCTTATTTCCAGTTAAGCCCCCACAAAGGTGGAAGTGGAGTTTTAGTTTAGGTGGAAGAACACTAGCCTTGAGCAGAGACTCAAGGACAGGACCCAGGCCCTGAGTTTATTTTTATTTTTTTTTGTAGATTGTGGGGCTTGAACTCTGGGCCTGGGCCCTATCCCTCAGCTCTTCAGCTCAAGGCAAGTGCTCTACTGCTTGAACCACAGTGCCACTTCTGGTTTTCTAGTGGTTTATTGGAGATAGGAGTCTCATGGACTTTCCTGCCCAGGCTGGCTTTGAACCATCATCCTCCGATCTCGGCCTCCTGAGTAGCTAGGATTACAGGTGTGAGCCACCAGCGTCCCGTGCCCTGAGTTTAAAGTGCTGGACCTACATAAAAACTGCAAAGGGATAGGAAAATGCTCTTTGGCAGATTGGTGAAATGGATAGTTTAAAATATAGTCATAAGAATCTTGTTTACAGAACTGGAGTGATTTAAGCCAGTTACCAGAGCCCCACAGCTATAATCCTAGCTACTAAGCAGGATGAGATCTGAGGAGCATAGTTTGAAGCCAGTCTGGGCAGGAAAGTCCATGAGACTGTAATCTCCAATTAACCACCAAAAAGCCAGAAGTGGAGCTGTGGCTCAAGTCGTAGAGTGCTAGCCTTGAGCACAAAAGGTCAGAGGCAGTGCCCAGGCCTCGGACTGTGCCCTAGGACTGGCACAAAAATTTTTAAAATAAAAATAAAGGAGTAATTTGATCTGAGTTTAAGGGAAAGATGGAGTCACTTAGATGGGACCAAAAAAAAGTGGGAAATAGAGCTGTTTACCTGATTTGGAGTTGGCTAGCTCATCTCTTGTCTACTATTCATCCCACAGGTGACCTGTGGCATTGCAGCCATCCCAGCCTGTGCTAAAGCAGCTACCTTGGATGTGGCCATTCGGCAAAGTCTGTCCCGTGGAGCTCAGAGGTGAGCTCACCTGGCTATCCTGATCCTACAGAGGTGTGGCACTTGGGTACCTCCTACCTAACTGGCCACATGAAGAGCAAGGGCCTGACAGTGTGAGCAATCTGACCTGGGCAACCTCTTTTTCAGGCTGCTCTGTTTGGTCCTGGGAGAGCTGGATTGGCCCCTGGACATTGCTGATGATGGGTATGACTCCAGTCACAGTGTCTCCAGTTGTGCATGTGGATGGGCAGGTAGCAGGCAAAGTCAACCCCCCCACCCCCGCCCCCAGGAGTTACTGGTAGGTAGGGCACTGTGTAACACAGAATGGGATCTTCCACAGCTGAAGTTAAAGAGGGGAGCCTCTGGGAGCAATGCGCCGACAGTCCCTGCATCCCTGCCTCCCTTCCCTTCTGTGACCCTGAAATCTCTGTCCTCAGTCATCTGGGCTCAGAGGGGTGGTGAGCTGGCTCTGATGGTACACTTTCTCCTGGAAGGAGAATTCTGTGGCTGAACATTGGAGGCAAGGAGACAGCTGTCCGGTCTGCGTTCCACATCTCCACACCATTGCCAGGGGTGAGTGGCTGTGCGGTTTGGGGCAGATACTAGCATCAGCAGGTTACTAGTTCTTCCTGGCTCCATGTTCACACCCCAGGAACTCAGATTGGGAGAAGCAGGAGCCAGCAAAAGTGTCTCATAACTCAGAGACTGAGACTCTGCCTCTGTCCCCACAGACAACAGGAGGATTCCTGAACTACACCTTGGGTCTGGTACTGCCTTTAGCCTATAGCTTCCAGCCTGAGCTGGTGCTGGTGACAGTGGGGCCTGCCCAAGGGCTACAGGACCCCCATGTTGCTCTTCTGGCTGCAATGCTTCGAATTCCAGCAGCAGGCCGAGTCCTGGCTCTCCTGGAGGAGGTAAGCTGGGCATGATAGATATGCTGTCCATGGAGGCAGAAAGATACTAGTTCTTTATTGCCTGAATTTCTGCCTCTGTCCAGGAATCTGCATCCCAGCTTGTAACAACCCTGGCTCCGGTGTTGCATGGAGAGGCACCTCCCAGCTTGGGCCCTTTCTTAATGGCTTCTCCAGAGGACATCCAGACCCTGAAATGTCTAAGAGCACAGCTGGAACCTCGGTGGAAGTTGCTGCAGGTGGCTAGCGAGGCTCAGGGGGAGGCAGGGTCCTGCCATAGAGTCCCATTGGGAAAACCACCTAGTGGAACCAACTACACAGATCAAGCCTGTTCCTAGCCCCTCCTCCAGGACCATGCTGTCCTGTAACCTAAGACTGGCCAAGTGGAAATGGTTGCTCGTGGGTCCTGCACAGTGGCTCCACCTGCGCTCCCTCACGCCACAGCAGTAAAATCAGTTGAAGCTGGCCTCTTCCTCCTTTATTGAGCACTCCCTGTACCTTACCTTTCCTGCCAGACTCGGAAGCTCTTGTTTTTCCCCCTTCCTTGCTGGGGGGTGGGGGTCTACACTTGAGAAAGCCTCCAGCCCAGGGTACAAGGCTTAGACTTTTTTTTGGGGGGGGGGCGTGGGTCCTTGAACTCAGGGCTTCTTGCTATCACTTGGCCTTTTGGCTTGTGCCACGCCTCCAGTTTCAGCGTTTGGCTGGAAACCTGTTAGGTGTATGGCTCCGTGTGCGCGCGCTGGTGCTGAGGCTTGGGTTTTTCTCTTTTTGGCCGTTGCGGGGCTTGAACTCGGGCCGGGGCGCGGCCCCCGAGCTTTTTCACTCAAGGCTGGCGCCACCGCTCTACCTCCGGCGTCGTGGCGGTGAACTGGAGAGGAGTCTCAAACGTGCGACCTCCGCCTCCGGAGTAACCGCCGGCGTGCGGCAGGCGTGGCCTCCCAGGACCCTGCGGCGCCTCAGACCCGCAGCAAGGTTTGGCCGCGCGGCCCCGCCCCGATGACGCATTTCCGGCGCGCCCGCCCTCGCGTCTCGGCGGTCGCGTGGCTGGGGCGTCACGGCGGCGGAGCGCTCGCGCAGCCTCTCCCGGCGAGTCTTCACCCGCCGGGCCGTCGTTCCCTCGCGGGAGGCCCTGAGGATGCGTGCGCGGCCGGGACTTCCGCGGAGCACCTCCGCGGGCACGCCCCGCTGGCGGGCACGCCCCGGCCGGTGACTCCGAGCGCTCACGGGCTGCGGACCTGAGGCGGACGCGGAGTCCGAGAGGCCGGGTCACTCCGGAGTCGCTGCGGCGGGGAGGGCGCGCCGTGCTTCCCCCTGCCCCGCCGCCGCCGCCGCCGCCGCGGGCCTCCGACCGCGGCCCAGAGCCGCAGGCTGCGGGGTGAGGCGTCCCCGGTGGACGTTGCCCGCTCCCGGCGGCCCGGGCAGGGAAGGCGAGCATGGCCGGCATCACTCAACTCTTCGACGATCTGTGCGAAGCCCTCTTGCCGGTCACCCGGGCCCGCCCCGGCCTGCGCAGCGTGGACCGGAAGAGAGCGAAGCAGACCCTCAAGAAGGTGGCCTACAATGCCCTTTTCGCAGACCTCTTTCAAGAGGACACTCGTCAGCTGCGGCCCAACCTGCCGAAACTCCCAGTGAAAAACAAGGTCCTCATGATGTCCTTTGACTTGCGGGTGGGTGGCCTGGGCCCCGAGGCTGACCGCTTGGAGGAGCTCGTGGAGGAGCTGCAGGCAGCCCCTGGCTGTCCGTTTGTGGAGGTGGGGTCGGTGTTGGAACTCCTGGTTCAGCTGGCTGGCAGCGGCCCTCCTCAGATCCTGCGCAGGAAACGAGACTACTTCAAGAAGCATGCAGGTAGAAACGTTCCCTACAGCGGCTATGATTGCTGTGACCTGAGTGTGCTTGAGATGGATGTTCGGTCTCTGATCTCCAGAGAAGGGTATTTGTGTCAGAACATGATCCAGGAAACACTTCAGATGATGGAGGCTGCTCCAGGAACCCATCTGCCCACCATGGGGCACTTCTCATTTGGTGACCCTTGTGGTGACAAGTTTGAGAGAGACACTCGGGTCTCACTTTTTGGTGCCCTGGTTCACTGCCGAACTTACGACATGGATGTGCGACTAGACCTGCCCCCAGTGCCAGACAGCGCAGACCTCTCTGGACTGGCCATTAAGGTATAGTCTGGGATTTGGAAGATGACATTTGACTTTCCTTGTGTCATAGTAAAGGTTGAGTAGCGCAAGTCTAGGTCATTAGGTGTCTTATCTTCCATGGCAACCTGTCATGAGGCAGAACTGCTGGAGCGGGCTTACTAGTGCTCTAGTCCTCATGGTCTGTGGAAAGGAAGAATAGCTTGCTGCTTGCTTTCTTCTTTCTTTCTCCTCCCATCCCCCTCTTTTTGGTCAGTTGTGGGGCTTGAACTCTGGGCCTGGGCACAAGGCTAGCACTCTACCACTTGAGCCACAGTGTTACTTTCCGCTTTTTCTGCTTATGTGGTGCTGAGGAATTGAACGTAGGGCCTCATGCATGCAAGGCAAGCACTCTACCATTGAGCCACCTTCCTAGCCCCTCTTTCTTTCCTTCTTCCTCTTTCTTATGTTTTGGTGTTGTTGGACTTGAACTCAGCCTTGTGCTTTCTCACTGGCTGGGCTTTCTTGCTTGGCTGATTCTCTACCACTTGAGTCATACTTCCAGTCCTTCTGCAGACAGTTTCATGAACTTTTGTGGCTGGGCTGGGTTTTGAACTTCAATCTTCTGGATCTCAGCTTCCTGAGTAGCTAGGATTCTAGGCATTGCTTTCCATCTTTTCCCTAACAGGGTACATTAAGTCTACCCCCTAGAGCTATTAAATTTAATTAAAATGAAATAAGTTCTGTTCCACATGCAGCAGAAACATTTGTTTGTGACATATGTACAATTTATTGTACTTTTTCATTTGTAGCATGAGTGTTTTTCCCCAAGTTATTGAGTAGACTTACTTTTGTATTTTATTGCTTTGCAAGCCTCCTTAAAAGAAGATACTTTGAGGGGCTGGGAATGTGGCTTAGTGGTAGAATGCTTGCCTTGCATGCATGAGGCCCTGGGTTTCATTCCTCAGTACAGGAAACAGGAAAAAAAAAAGCCAGAAGTGGTGCTGTGGCCCAGGTGGTAGAGCACTAGTCTTGAGCACAGAGAGGCTCAGGGACAGTGGCCAGGCCCTGAGTTCAAGCCCTAGGACTTTGATTATATAAATAATGCTACAGTAAATCTGTGTAGGTTTTTCTGGGAGATAAATACATGTATGTGTATGTATACGTATACTTCTATGTATATGGATGTTTTGGTGCCAGTCCTGGGATTTGATCTCAGGGCCACAGCTCCACTTTTGGCTTTCTAGTGGTTAAGTTGGAGATAAGAGTCTCACAGACTTTCCTGCCTGGGCTGGTTTTGAACCATGTTCCTCAGATCTCAGCCTTCTGAGTAGCTAGGATTACAGGTATGAGCTACTGGTGCCGCACAAGGTTTAGTATAATTTTCTATACTGGTTTCTCCAAAATGGAATTTTCAAGCCAAGTGCCACAGTAATTTCCAGTACTGGCACCAAAAGAAAACAAAAAAATCCCACACAAAACTCAAAAAACAGAAAAAGGAATTTCTTTTTTTTTTTTTGTTGGTCATGGGGCTTGAACTCTGGGCCTGGGCGCTGTCCCTCAGCTCTTCAGCTCAAGGCGAGCGCTCTACCACTTGAGCTACAGTGCCACTTCCGGTTTTCTAGTGGTTTATTGGAGAAGGAGTCTCACGGTCTCTCCTGCCCGGGGTGGCTTTGAACCGCGATCCTCAGATCTCAGCCTCCTGAGTAGCTAGGATTACAGGCGTGAGCCACCGGCGCCCGGCCAGAAAAAGGAATTTCTAAGTCAAAGACATTTCATAGTTATATGTTGAGGCTATATGTGACTTAAAGTGTGAAAATGATAGCTTTGTACCATATATGGCTGGAAATTGATAACTTTAGTGGGGAACTTTATTTTTTCTGGCACTGGGGCTTGAACTCAGGGCCTTGGGCTGTCCCTGAGCCTTTGTTTAAGGCCAGTGCTCTACCACTTTGAGCCACAGTGCCATTTCTGGCTTTTCCTGAGTAGTTTATTGGACTTTCCTGCCTGGGCTGGCTTTGAACCATGATCCTCAGATTTCAGCCTCCTGAGTAGCTAGGATTACAGAGGTGTGAGCCATTGGTGCCTGGCTTAGTGGGTAACTTTAGTCAATTACTTAAACCATTTATTGGTTTGGGGGGTAGGAGGAGAGATTGTATATTTAGTATATATATACTAGAGAAAAGTAAAATCAGCATTCTGTTAGGTCTGATGAACAAATAGAAATATGTGGATAAAGTTCCTAGAGTTTTGTCACACAAATAGACACAAATGAATAGGTAGTGGTTTTTTCCTTCCTGCGGTCCCCAGGTCCCTCAGAGCATGGATCAGTGGGAAGATGAAGGGTTCCAGTCAGCATCCAATTTGACTCCTGATTCCCAGTCTGAACCAAGCATGACCCCAGATGTGGACTTATGGGAAGTTGCCCTCACATATGAGGCCAGCAAGCGGAGGTGCTGGGAGAGAATCGGATGGTAAGGTTTTCCTCTCCCTTTAAATTCCTTGCCCACTGTCATGTTATGACTTCAATTGTGCTGTGGACATTGACATTGCTTACTGATCCCAGGCAGTGTTGAGGAGTCAAGTTAGTGTCCACATTGTCTGACGTGGGGAGGTGACAGATGCAGAGGGAAACAAGGGCCCCACTCTGCCAGTCACCTGTAGGGCACACTTGCCAGCCAAAGCAGTGCATATGTCCTTCTACCAAGATTGCTAGCTAAGTGTCAAGGCAACCTGGCCAGTCATGTGGTCAGTGCTTCCTGGCCAAGGTGCCTCCGTGCCAAGAAGCCATCAGAGTGGTGGTATGGGATATTGGAAGTTTCAGTCTTTCCTCCAGTTGGCACTGGCAGCTTGAGTTTTCATTCATATCCTGGGTGTGTCTGAGGTCAGAGCACTCTGAACCCTGGGCCCTCTGAAGTGTTCTGTTAGCATGGGAGTAGAGAATATGCATTTTCCAAACATTTGGCCATAAAGCCCTCTTCATACCCTTGTGCTGGTGAGTCTGGAACTCCAGTGAGGGAGCACTGGATTACAGAATCAGTCAGGACTGTCCTTTCTGCCTGAGGTAGCCTCCAGAGTCCTGCAGGGCCTCCAACCACCTCTGTGTGCAGTGCACTGCCCAGCAGTTGTACTTCTCCTAGGTCTGGTCATCAGCCTCCATTCAGATCCCATGGGTACTGCTGGCTTCCTTCATGCTTCTGTGGTGATGCTGACAGTCGCAGAAACTTAAGTATTTTTTTTATTGTTATTATAAAGGTGATACACAGAGGGGATGTGGCTTAGTGGTAGAGTGCTTGCCTGGCATGTATGAAGCTCTGGGTTCAATTCCTCAGCATCACATAAACAGAAAAAGCCAAAGTAGTGCTGTGGCTCAAATGGTAGAGTGCTAGCTTTGAGCAAAAGAAGCTCAGGGACAGCACCCAGGCCCTGAGTTCAAGCCCCAGGACTGGAAAAGAATAAAAAAGAAAAGGGTGATACACAGAGCGGCTAGTTATGGAAGTCATGGAATGAGTACTTTTCATAGTATAACTCCTTTTCTCCCAGTTTACCAAGAAAACTTGCCATTTGTCTCTGAGCCTGGCTTCCTTCACTTAACATGATTTTTTTCTAGGTCCATCTATTTCCCTACAACTATTATTTCTAATGGATGAGTATGATTCTATTGTGTATATGTTAGCAATGGGCACCACATTTTCTTTTGTTTTGTTTTTTTTTTGGGTCCGGTTGTGGGGCCTGAACTCTGGGCCTGGGCGCTGTCCCTCAGCTCTTCAGCTCAAGGCTAGCACTCTAC